AGAAGCCGATCCCCGATGTGACTGTCCTCCAGCGGGTGGCCCAGCAGCTGTTGGCGTCGGTGCGTCCGCAGGTGCCCCCGCATTGATCATCCAGGATTGGTACACTTCGTGGCCGAGATCCCCTTGAGGTATCATTGCACCGAGGCCGCATTGCCTCCGCGGTTTGATCCCATCCTTGTACGTGTCACATTCGCTGACCGGTGTCGGTCCCGCCGCACGAGGGCCAAAATATTCAGAATTCCGCCATGCCTCGCCCTGGTGTTGTTACTTGATTCCCACGGAGTGGATGAAATAGTGTGACGGAAGTCTACTATTGCGCCCTCGGTCAAAACTATATCCTTGCCTGACCTCCAGATGCGCACACAATCACGCAGACAAGGAGGCATAGAGAGGAAAATCAGTTCCTCAACTTCGCTGCGTAATTGACGACCCGCTCGCGACACGCCCCGCGACCCACCCCGCGACCCACCCCACGACCCACCCCGCGACCCACCCCGGGACCCACCCGCGCCCCGCCCGCGGCCCCCCCGCACTGTTTGTCGAAAACTCAGCGCGCCTGCGACAGGCTCGTTGTGCAATCTATCAAAAGTCTGTGCCTGCGGCGGGATCCTTGAGAGCCGCACAGACCGCCGACGACCCAGCTGCCCCCCTCACTCTTACCCGCAACTGCGGAGGCTGTGGCACACGTGTCCCGCGCCTCCCAGGGCCCAGAAAGATCGCTTTCCCAAGGGGAGGGTCTAGGCAAACCAGGCATCGGGGTTCATCAAGCCACTCTGCAAGAAAGGCCCAGATTCGGTCCAAAATAAAACGTACGCGCCCTACCACGCACGTCAATGCGGCAACCCAGGCCGCGAGGCCGCCCTCGCGGTACAAGCGCTCGCGCCATGCATACTCTCGAGTGGGAGCCACACGTGTATATATATATATATATACGTATATGTGTATATATATCTATATAGATATATCTATATATATATATATATATAGATGTGTGCACTATTCTACTCGGGCTTTCGCCGGAACATGGTGTACATCTGTTGTTGGACGTCTCACGATCGCATCCTCAATACAGTGCGCGGTGCCGGTTGCGGAAGCAGTTTCATGGTCATGTTCCTGTCCCCGATCGAAGCCCCCCAAAAAGCATGTATTCTTACGTCTCTTTGTTCGCCCCCGAGCGGAGGAGCGTGCGTGCTGAGCAGCGGCCTGGCGTGCCGAACTGCGCCCGGCAGGCACCGCTCACCGCGCACCGCGGGTGGAAAATCGCTGGAAAAACTGCCGCCGCCACGGCGGCGGGGGGGAAGGGAACGGAGAAAGCATATCACTGGTAGATGCTCGTTCTGCGGACTTCCCTGGGGCCGGTCGCTCCATTTATGCATCGATGGTGTGTTGAACGTCCGTCGCCCTGAGCTGAACGCTAATCTAACTTGAGCCGAAATAGAGGCAAACTTGAGACGAGTATGAGGTGAACTTAAATAAAATTGGAGGTAAACTAAGAGTAGAACAGATCCGTGAGGTGGACCCCAGAAAAGGTCTCTAAAGCGAGCATACAATTACTCAACTTCCGGGAAGAGTTTACCGATCGATGAGCTACCTCGCCCCACCCCCCGCCAGCCCCTACAAACCCTTCCAGGCAACGAGCTGCACGTGCAAGAGCGCGCAAGATGGCACACTCGGACTGAACTTCCTGGCAACAGCGCTGGTACCTCACCGATGACACTGGCGAAGGGGCGTAGCATACGTGTGTATGCGCATATGTGCATGACATGCCATGTATACAACAAATGTGTACGTTGTCCAAGCAACGGGGAGCAGACTATGTCGTGCAGGCTATGTGGTGCAAGCTAGTTCTGATGATCACGCCATGAGGCTCAATGTTTCGAGTAAGGTAAAACGGGCGAACAACCTGGTGCAATGAGATGTGCTGCCAAGACGTGTTCTGTCTAGTCGGGGTGCAGAAATCAGCGTGGTGCAATCTACGTGGTTAATCAGATGTCGCACAAAATGTGGGTTGCAAACTGTGTGGTGCAATCTATATAGTGAAAACTACGGTAATGCAAACCTATGCGTGGATCCAGAAACTTCAACACGGACACTACGGGCGGAAACCATGCGAAAACGCAGAAAAGCGAGCCAACGCAACGGCGGCCACGAGACGCCCACCGGCGGCCAACGGGCGAAAATCTGGGGGAAAAAATTACGCTACCGAGGAACCCCACATACTTAATTTAAATATTATGTGCTTGCTTAAGTTTTATCATATATGCGCAATTCTGCGTTCTCAGCCCTCGTCGCGAATGTTCCCCTCTGTGTCATCCAACGCCATATTGCTTGAACCTCCTCCCTCTTCCTAGCCTTCTATCCTCCATCGAGGACATATTCGAGCCAGCCAGCGGCCGCGGTGAGGGACCGCCCCCTGCGCACCTCTATGGTGTCGAGAAAGTGCCACGCCTGCTATGCCCTGGACGACCGTCGTGCATGGCGGCCGCGGTGAGGGACCACCCCCTGCGCAGCCTTTATGGTGTCGAGAAAATGCCGCGCCTGCTATGCCCTGGACGACCGTCGTGCATAGCGGCCGCGGTGAGGGACCACCCCGGTGAGAGACCACCCCCTGCGCACCCCCTCTGGAGTCGAGAAAGTGCCACGCCTGCTAAGCCCTGCGACATTGGCGCGTATAGAGACCGCGGTGAGAGACCACCCCCGTGCGCACCCCCTCTGGTGTCGAGAAAGTGCCACGCCTGCTAGGCCCTGCGACATTGGCGCGTATAGGGGCCGCGGTGAGAGACCACCCCCTTGCGCACCCCCTGCGGTGTCGAGAAAGTGCCACGCCTGCTAGGCCCTGCGACATTGGCGCGTATAGGGACCGCGGTGAGAGACCACCCCCTGCGCACCCCCTCTGGTGTCGAGGAAGTGCCACGCCTGCTAGGCCCTGCGACATTGGCGCGTCTAGGACCGCGGTGAGAGACCACCCCCTTGCGCACCCCCTGCGGTGTCGAGAAGTGCCATGCCTGCTAGGCCCTGCGACATTGGCGCGTATAGGGACCGGTGAGAGACCACCCCCTGCGCACCCCCTCTGCGAGGAAGTGCCACGCCTGCTAGGCCCTGCGACATTGGCGCGTATAGGGACCGCGGTGAGTGACCACCCCCTGCGCACCCCCTGCGGTGTCGAGAAAGTGCCATGCCTGCTAGGCCCTGCGACATTGGCGCGTATAGGGACCGCGGTGCGGAGGCGCGTACCAGAGACCACCCCCTGCGCACCCCCTCCGGTGTCGAGAAAGTGCCACGCCTGCTAGGCCCTGCGACATTGGCGCGTATAGAGACCGCGGTGAGAGACCACCCCCTGCGCACCCCCTCCGGTGTCGAGAAAGTGCCACGCCTGCTAGGCCCTGCGACATTGGCGCGTATAGAGACCGCGGTGAGAGACCACCCCCTGCGCACCCCCTCTGGTGTCGAGAAAGTGCCACGCCTGCTAGGCCCTGCGACATTGGCGCGTATAGGGACCGCGGTGAGAGACCACCCCCTGCGCACCCCCTCCGGTGTCGAGAAAGTGCCACGCCTGCTAGGCCCTGCGACATTGGCGCGTATAGAGACCGCGGTGAGAGACCACCCCCTGCGCACCCCCTGGTGTCGAGAAAGTGCCACGCCTGCTAGGCCCTGCGACATTGGCGCGTATAGAGACCGCGGTGAGAGACCACCCCCTGCGCACCCCCTCTGGTGTCGAGAAAGTGCCACGCCTGCTAGGCCCTGCGACATTGGCGCGTATAGAGGACCGCGGTGAGAGACCACCCCCTGCGCACCCCCTCCGGTGTCGAGAAAGTGCCACGCCTGCTAGGCCCTGCGACATTGGCGCGTATAGAGACCGCGGTGAGAGACCACCCCCTGCGCACCCCCAGAAAGTGCCCTCCTGCGAGATAGTGCCACCCCCTGCGCACAGAAGTGCCACGCCTGCTAGGCCCTGCGACATTGGCGCGTATAGAGACCGCGGTGAGAGACCACCCCCTGCGCACCCCCTGCGGGTGTCGAGAGAAAGTGCCACGCCTGCTAGGCCCTGCGACATTGGCGCGTATAGAGACCGCGGTGAGAGACCACCCCCTGCGCACCCCCTCCGGTGTCGAGAAAGTGCCACGCCTGCTAGGCCCTGCGACATTGGCGCGTATAGGGACCGCGGTGAGAGACCACCCCCTGCGCACCCCCTCCGGTGTCGAGAAAGTGCCACGCCTGCTAGGCCCTGCGACATTGGCGCGTATAGAGACCGCGGTGAGAGACCACCCCCTGCGCACCCCCTCTGGTGTCGAGAAAGTGCCACGCCTGCTAGGCCCTGCGACATTGGCGCGTATAGGGACCGCGGTGAGAGACCACCCCCTGCGCACCCCCTCCGGTGTCGAGAAAGTGCCACGCCTGCTAGGCCCTGCGACATTGGCGCGTATAGAGACCGCGGTGAGAGACCACCCCCTGCGCACCCCCTCCGGTGTCGAGAAAGTGCCACGCCTGCTAGGCCCTGCGACATTGGCGCGTATAGAGACCGCGGTGAGAGACCACCCCCTGCGCACCCCCTGCGGTGTCGAGAAAGTGCCACGCCTGCTAGGCCCTGCGACATTGGCGCGTCTAGAGACCGCGGTGAGAGACCACCCCCTGCGCACCCCCTCCGGTGTCGAGAAAGTGCTACGCCTGCTTGGCCCTGCGACATTGGCGCGTATAGAGCCCGCGGTGAGAGACCACCCCCTGCGCACCCCCTCTGGTGTCGAGAAGGTGCCGCGCCTGCCCTGTGTGCTATGCTGAGCTGTGCTGTGATGTGCTGTGCGGTGCCGAGCTGATCTGAGCTGTGCTGAGCTGTGCTGTGCTGTGTTGTGCTGCGCTGTGCTGTGCTGTGCTGCGTTGAGCTGTGCTGTGCTGTGCTGTGCTGTGCTGTGCTGTGCTGTGCTGTGCTGTGCTGCGCTGAGCCGTGCTATGCTGTGCTGTGCTGTGCTGTGCTGTGCTGCGCTGTGTGAGAAGGAGAGAGAGGTGAGGTGAATGTCGCGGGTGCGGCGCGGCAAGGAAGAAAACCAGAACCCCACGAAGCATGTGGGGAACTAACCAACGTAAAAGCAGCCACAAGGCGCCCCCACGGTGACCACCCGGCGAAACCCAGGAAAAGCAAGCCAAGTATTCACGCACACATTTTGCACCCACAGTGCCATCACACTTGGGGACGAGGCATCTCGATTTCTTCAAGTCTTGGGTTGTCTGGGTCTGGGGGTCATTCTGGCGTACTTTCTGTTCACGGATGTCAAAACGCAGCCAGCCGTGGTGACAAGGAGCCTCCCAGAGGCCAGACATGGCCGAGAAGCATCCAGAGCCTCCACCATCTACTCTCGAGCCTGGATTCTTTCGGGCCGCTGCGGATCTAGGGACAAGGAGACACTGACCTTCCAGGAGTTCTTGGAAGAACTGAACCAGGGCCTCAGAATGTAGAATTCAGCCGTGGCCTTTCGGCAGTCCAGACAGGACTGCCAAAAGCTCTGGAGGGCTCCTTTTCCCAACTCTGAAGGTCCAGGGGCGCATGGCAAACAACGAGAAGCGCCTGGACGGCGCATCGGCGGGAGTGAAACAGCGGTGGAAACTTAGGTGGCGTGCATGGAAAACTAACTTTGAAAAAGAGAAGAGAGGCACATGCTGACATGCAGGGGGGGGGAGGAAGATGAAAGGGAAATGAGGGGGGCGGAGACAGATGAGGAACCATGGACCATTACCCCAACGCCGGGGGTCCCACTCAGTGACACGGGTGGGGACCCACTCGAGTGCCCTGGGGTAGGGAGAAAGAGGAGGGGAGGGGGAGGGGATGAGGAGGAGATGGAAGAGGAGGGAAAGAAAGAGAGAGAGGGAGAGAGAGAGAGAGAGAGACAACAAAAAAAGAAAAAAGAAAGAGAGGAAGAGAGATAAATATTGAACAAGAAAAAAGCCTAGGGAAATACAGAAAAGGAGGAAGAGGAGGAGGGGGAAACGGAAGCGGAGGAGGAGGAGGATTCGTCCCAGGTAGACCAGCCGGGCTCTTCGAAGCGCAGGCGGTGTAGCGCGAGACTACAAGATTAATTAAACAACGGGTCGAACGTGGCACGAGACACGAGCATGCAATCACCTACATGCGTTTCCGCATCCTTCCCGTCCCACTCCCACCAAACGAGCCCGCCACACCTTCAAATTCCCGATGCACTATGCCGTCAAGAAACGGCAGCACGTTGAGCCCGCTGTACATGGCGTCCACCAACGTCGCTCCGAACGGCAGATGGCGGCTAACAGCCACAGGAGCTCCGTCTCTGGGATCCCGTGACTCCCAAAGCCGTTCAGTCCGGAAAGCGGTGGCCGAGCCTCGGACCACTCCTCCCTGGCAGTGCTGCGCAAGCCTCCTGGCGTTTTCTTTGAATGTTTTCCTTTGAATAGCACTCACAATCAGCACAGAAAACGCATATTGGCCAGTTGTCCACAGCCTGTGACCAGCACCAACGGTATCGAAATTCGCTGAACAATGCTGCGGCTTAGAACCAGTACGAGAGCATCGCGTGCACCGCAGCCTACGTCAATCGGGGCGGCGGGGATGCTCGCCGACCGCCCACCCGAAATGGTCCCGAAGGGAAAGGAAAGACTGACAAACATCTCGCGGTATGTCTTGTCAAAAACCGCACGGTTGCATCGGCACGCACGAGTCGCTCGCGCGCCTCATCTGAGGCGGGTTTGTTCATGGCACCTAACTGGGCCGCCTGGTCGGCAAACTCGTTGCCCAGGAAACAAAACCTTTGCAATTCGTGGACGTCCGAATCCAGTGCTACACGCGCGAGAACTGCAACAAACACATGGACAGTCGCGCAGACTACAGGACAAGGGCCACGCCGGGTAGAACATGGATTCCCGCTGGAACGGCCGAACAGCTGGCCACGACAGTGGATGAAGTCATATCGAGAACCATATCCGACAGCAGCATAAGCTTTGACGTGGCACAACCATGGCACTACGATGGCAGTGAGACAACGGTATGGATTGGACCTTGGAACGAATGCGATGACGTACAAGACGCGGAGCAACCCAACAGCATCGGTGAGGGAACGACCCCCGACGCAACCGCCACAGCGCCTGAGGCATGGGAAGCCTCGGGCATACGTCACCAAGTTTTGCCGCCTGTGGAAGGTAGTGTCTGCGAAGGAACGAACCCCGACGCACCTGACACAACGCCTGAGGCATGTCCAGCCTCAAGCATACGTCGCCAAGCTTTGCCGCCTGTGAAGGGTAGCGTCCGCGAGGGAAAGGTCCCCGACGACCCATCCATCCCGCTCGAGGTATGCACTGCTCAGGAGCAGGGACTCCCAGAGGGTACCAGCCTCGGGCGGGCGTCGCCACGCTTTGAGTCAGGAGATGGACAGCACAGAACGCAGCAAGGCGGATAACATGGCTATGTCAAGTACAATGGCGTCTGCGAACACAACTGCAACCAGCGGGACAACGGCCTCAGGGATGGCAGCGACAGCCGATATGATATGGAGGCGGGGAACCACAACATGAAGGAGGAGGAGGAGGAGGAGGAGGAGGAGGACCGCGAAGGCTCGTCACCACAGCGCCTGGCGACGAAGGGTGGTGGCAGCCTCCCCGACCTCCACAGCGCCGCTGGCGCCGAAGGGCGGGGGACAGGGCGGGTCCAAGAAGAAAACCAGCAACCACCCGAAGAGGAGCCGCAGGCCACTCAGGCCTGGGCCCGAGCACACACGAGGGGCGCATGTTCCAGATTTTCAACCAGCACCTGAAGGCGCCCGACAGCGACACCTGCCATGAACAGCAGGGTCGACGACTCCCCCTCCGCGGTGAGCGTGCCGACCCCTTAGACACCCAGCGGGGTGCAGGCGGCCGCGAGGGGGGCGAGGTGGACGCCTACGTCTTGCACATGGGCCCGCGGCGGCCGTGCGCCGACGGCCGCCCAGAGGCCTTCCGGGGACCCCTTCCTCTATCCTCGGGTGCCTTCTTGGAGCCTCCTCCTCCTCCTCATCCTCCTCCTCCAACTCCAACGTCTCCTCCTCCTCCTCCTCGTCCCCCTCCTCCTCCTCCTCCTCCTTGTCCTTCGACGCGAGGGCCCATGAGGCCCTCCTCCTTGTCCCTTCTCGGGCCCCCCCCTTTCTCCTCTCGCTCTGGCCCCACGGCCGCCGTCTCTCTCGGCCCTGTTCCCGCCTCGGGGGGGCCCCGCGCATTTGCATGCTGCTTTGGCCCTCCCACCATCACCTCGGCATGGCTTGCTCGTGAAGGAGGTCGCCTACTGCTGCCGCGGTGGTGGTTGGGGGGCTGAAATGAACTGCGCCTCGGGTCTCCGACCCACGGGCCGTGGGCCCCCGCCCTCTCCCCCCTCTCGAGGCCCTCTGAGGTCGTTTGCTTCGAGGCTTCTCTCTCGGTCCTCGACGGGGGCTCTTGGGCCCAGAGGCTGGATCCTGATTCTGCTGCGCGCGCTCACGCCCGCGGCCGCGGGCGGGCGCGCGCGCTCGGCTATGGCGGACAAGACCGCCGCAAGGCCGCCAGTGCGTGAGGAGGTGGAGGAGGAGGAGAAGGAAGATTAGGAGGAAGAGGAAAGGGAGGAGGAGAAGGAGGAGGACATGGAGGAGGATAAAGAGGAGGAGGAGGAAGAGGAGGAGGGGGAGGGGAAGGGGGAAGGGGAGGAGGAGGAGGAGGAGGAGGAGGAGGAGGAATCGGAAGATTAGGACGAGGAGGAAAGGGAGGAGGAAGGGGACATGCGTAAAAGACGCGCTTCTGCTGCCCTGGGACCTCTGCGCGACCTCGGCCGCAGGTGCGCAGCCCTGGGAGCTACGGCGGCCCGACGCTGGCCTCGATGGCGACCCAATGCTCCCCCAGTCTGGTCGTGCGCCCGACCACGAAGCCGGCCGCCTCGGCCGCCGCCGCGGTCGCCGCCGTGGCGCTCGTCGCCGTGGCCGTGGTCGTGGTCGTCATGGCTCGGTTGAGTGAAAACGACCTCGGGCCCAAACCTGCCGGCCGCAAGCCTGGAAAATGACGGCCGCGGCGCCCTCTCGAGGACCGAAAACGGACAATTCACTAATCGACGTGTCAGGGTGGGGGTCCTGTCCACTCCCGAATGGTGGTGGTGGCAACCAGGATCGAACTCATCTGTGAGGCGAATCCGGGGGGAAGTGAAAGGGGAGCCGGCCTTGTCAGAAGGCGGCGGGGCTTCCCAGAAGCCCTCTAAAGCATCAGTGGATGCTTAGAACATTCGGCGGTGGACACACCTCCCTTTAATAAACCTCCCTTTCGTGAAAACGGCCTAAGGCCTAGGACCGAAACCGACGGACCTGGACCCGGAAAAATGACGGCCGCGACGCCCTTTCGCGAACCGAAAACGGCCAATTCGCTAATCGACGTGTCAGGGTAGGAGGTCGGTCCACCCTTGAAACGTGTATAAGAAGACCAGAACCCTTCCGAGCCGTCTGAGCAGGCCCGCCCCCTCTGCCGTCCCCCCTGGGCGCGCCGCTGATTGATGGTGGTGGCACCCAGCCTCGAACTTGTGGACCCCATCCCCAAGATCGGCCAGCCCGAGACGATGTTTGAGGAGTGCCCCTTTCCAAGAACCGAACAGCATCCTCAAGATCGGACCGAGCAAGGGTAACGCCAAATTAGAGGAATGGGGATTTGGCTCAGGCTGCTACGGTGTGGTGGGGGTCGTCGACGTCGCCGTCGCTCGCCCGATCTGCCCGCGCCGAGGCCGAACGCTCGACCCCGTCAAATGCCGCCCCGTCGTCGTGCGACTACAAAACTGAGCGTTTGCTGACACGGCTCAGCGAAAACAAAGCTCAACAGCCTGCGAGAAACTGCGCTGCAGGTTGGCCGAGATCTTCCCAGACCCGAGTCGACAGATAAGAGGACATCCCCAGGGCCGCACGCAGCTCCAAGACCTGGCTCCATCAAGATCCAGCGCTGCATAATCCTGCAGGATCTGGCGCTCGGGTTGAGCCCCGATTGCGCTGAACCCTTGTTGCCCGCCAGCTGACAGAAGATCTAGACGCTGTCCCAGGCGCCTGCAAGAGCTCTCCGTACTCGGCGATGGTCCTGTCGCGGCCGCCGTACATGACCCACATGCCCGCCTCCCGCAGGATCTGTCAACATCGAATCGATCAATCGGATCGAACCCATATGTGCGTCGGGCCGTGCTGCATCGGCACGGAATCGAAACCGCATCGTATCGGCAGCGCCAGGGTGCACAGAAATGCCATGCGAGCGTCGAGCCGACTCGGCTCATCGGAGCATCGGAATCGAATCGGCTTTGACTGGCCGGAAACGAGTCGACGCCTCTCCCATGCCTTCTCTTGGGGTGCATTCAGACCAGGGGTTGGATGCGACTCCAACCGTGTCGGCGAGAGACGAATAGCGGTGGCGGTATCCTTTCATCCTCTGATGGGCGACGAGCCCGGTGGAAGCCTCATTGACCCCGTTCCAAAGCTCCAGGGCAGAGACGGCGTCTCAGGAAACGCGAGGGGTTCTGACAGTCCCCGCCGCCCCCTGATAGGGTCCGCCCCCTCTCTTATCGAGCGAAGGGGCGGGCCTTTCCTCTTCATGAGAAAGGGGCGACTGCTCGATCCCGGATCGGCGGCGAGCCCGGCGGGGGGTCGGCGCAGCTCGGAGGCCTCGGGGCGCGCAGGGTGGCGAGGAAAAAGGCGAGGAGGGGGAGGAGGAGGAGGAGGAGGAGGAGGAGCAGCAGGAGGAGGAGGAGGAGGACGACGACGAGGGAGAAGAGGAGGAGGGGGAGGGGGAAAAGGAGGAGGAGGAGGAGGCCAGGACAAGACAGGACATCCGCATAAGGGGGTCCCGAAGCTGCAATGGGTGAGTTTCGACGTGGCCCCGTGAGAATGGCTCGCTGCCTTGTGAATACGAATCCTTGCGGGTCGCTGCGGGCGGAGCAGCAGTTGCCCTTCGGCGTGCCCGTGGAACTGCGGACGCGCAGGGCGAGCACGGCTCCCAAACTAGGGCGGGGTGACGACGACGCGACCTCTCAAAAGGAGAAGAGGGGGATCCTCGGGAAGCCCAAACGTTCCAACTTCTTGCGGGGGGGGAAATATCCTACTGTGCTTTGAATCATCAGACTAGATGATCTTTTTCTCTGCTCACTTCTTTTCCAAAGCGTAGTGGTCGATAGTTGCCCCGCGCAGTGTCGCATCTGTACCCTGATACCCTGCATTCGTATCCCACTGCTCCCCTCGAAGTGTTGGTAGAAAGGAGCAGACTGGAGGTGGGACCCTCGAGGATGCGCGTTGGTGGCCTTCGTGGTTATCAAATTTGTCCATCCTCACTCCATGCAATAGTGTACCTGTCGGCCCTCCAAAAAATTACTTCCCAAGACGCTGTCTGTGCGAGCACTCTCTCGTGGGTCCTCACGCCGAAATGGCCCCGCCAGTGATGGTCCCACTGAATCTGCCCACCCTACCTGCCGAGAGTCGCACTCCGAGAAACCCTGGCAAATGCGCCTGTTGGCGTTGCCACTTGGCTCTCGCGCCTGCGGCCGCTGGAGCTGGCCGCCTCCTCCGACTTGGCGTACTGTTCGAAGGTCCGGTGCCATCCAGAAGGGTCTTCGTGCTGTCTCGTAGCTGCTGACGAGCGCGTCCTCGTTCTTCATCCCCTTGGTCGAGCGCGTCCTCGTTCTTCATACTCTTCAAGGCAACCTTCACACTGTGGAGGTCATCCTCGTCATTCTTCGAAATCTTCAGCGCCAGCTGCCACCAGCTCTGCATAGTGAAGGTTTTCCTCCCAGCTCTTATCCACGCGTCCACTGGGTACCTTGCGGTCAGTGCGCAGCCCTCGGCCGTGTGCGTCATCGGGAAGGACAATGGGATCAGCTCGAAGAGCTCCTCTGGGCTCATCTTCCGGGCGGCGTCGTAGAACTTGTAATGGTGTTCCTTGATGGCGTCGTCTGTTTAGTTTCTGCGGCAACCTGTCCGCTACGAACGCTTCCCACTTCTCTCCTACCTCGAGCTCCACCACAATTGAGGCCCCCTCTTGAACGGGTGGAACATTTACTTGCATTCGATGTCAGGCCATATATCGCTGTCTTTGCCGACGTCGTCCTTCATTTTGTCCACCCACTCTTGCATGAGCTCGTCTTCTGGATGCTTCTCCTGCGCCTTCACGAGCTGCGTCCAGTCCACTTTGCACCAACAGTTCCACTGGTTCCCCCTTGAGTTGGGAGGAGGAGGAAGAGGAGGAGGAAGAGGAGGAGGACAGGGAGTGGAGTAGAGTGGAATGGAATGGAATGGAGTGGAGCCCGCCGACCTGAGATCGAGCGAATCGGGTCTCTCGGGTCGGACTCGGCCACGCCTCCCGCGCGGTGGCGCTCTCGGGCAGGAAATTCTCGACGACGAGCAGCCGCGGCGGCCGCCCGACGGCGCCGCCCGCCGCGGCGGCGCGGATGTGCCGCAGGATCGACAGGCACCGCTCGTCGCCCCAGTCGTGCAGAATCCACTTGAGCATGCGGAGAAGACCGAAGCGACTACCGCCGCAGCACGGCCGCAAGAGCGTGGAATCACAGAACGCGCGCCTCTTCGCAGACGGCCCGCGTGCCCGCGGAGGTGCCCCTGAACGAGCAATATATCCCCCGTGGGCGCAGAGGCCCAGACACAAAGAGAAGCAGGGTACCCTTCCAAAGCTGGGTAGAGGAAAAAGAACTATGCACATGCACCGATTCTGGCCAGGCCCATCCTGAGCCCAGGATCGGTGCATACGCCCTCCTACCTTGGCCAGGAAGGCATATGCACCGATCCTGGGTCAAAAATGGGCCTTGCCAGGATCGGTGCATGTGCATAGTTCTCTTCGCCCGACTGGGGCTGCCCTCAACCCTCGTGCCAGCTGCACGCGAGCACACACTTTCGGGGGTCCGCGCGGATCTCTTGGGTCGGCGGCCGGCAGCCAAAGCGATCCGGGCGCCGCTGGCGGCGCCCCCCAGGGCTCTTCGCGCGCCGTGGAGGGGCGGGGGGAGGGGGATCGAGCGCAGACCACAGAAACTCGCACGGACCTCCGAAAGGTTGTGCCGATGTCTTCGTTCGGTCTTCGAATGTACACGTCGGCCGCGGGCATCGTGCCCTCATCGTTGAAGAAATCGCCGCCCACCGCGCGGACGCGCTCGGCGATGCCCTCCTCCGCGAGCTCGGAGGTCGCGCTCACCACATCACTGCGGTCGAACAGGACACCGTGCCAGTCCTGGCTGGCGGCGGTCAAAGTCGGGCGCACGCTGGCATGGATTAGGGACCTGTAGGGGCTGGCGCGTGGGCGACAGAACCACAGATCGGGGAAGGCAACTCCCGAAGCACGGCGGCAAGCCTGCCCGATTGAGCGACGGAGTGCCCCAATGCTGTGTGGAAACGGGGCCTGCCAGGGCCGCGCTAGCAGCACAATGCGTACGCCAGCGATGAGTCCAAGAACAACTATCATCATGGGGCGGAGCTCCAAAGAGGCAAGGGGTCTTCTCAGAAGGGGCCCGAGGCCTCTCGACAGGCCTCACGGAAGTGCAGGAGGGCTTCTGAGACAGCCCCCATACCTTTTCAGGAGACCGCATACCTCGCTCCGCCCTCTTATTGAAAAGAAAACGCATTCATAGCCACCAGCATGGGGGCTCCACATTTCTTGGATCGGCGCTGGACACTCCTCCCTGAAGCGCAGAACATCAAATTGCATAAACATCATCTCCCGAAGCTCCGTGTGGATCCCTCGGGACGGCGCTGATCCCCCCAGGCACGCGGAGCGCGCTGGCGTCGGAGGTGCATCCACGGGTGGTCCAGCGCTGATTTCAGCCTCGACCTTCGAAATGTTATGTTGATGCTCTTGTTCGGGAAGCAGAACAATGAATTGCACGCCGGCTTCACGACCCTACCAGCGCGGCACAGCTGAAAAGATGCAAGGTCTCTGCCCGAACAGATGATGAGTAGTAACACGCAAAGGTTGAGAGGCGACGCCAGAGAGGGGGACAACGAAGAGGGGGTGTAGCGCATCGTGGCCCGAAGCATGCCTGCGGACAGAGACAGGCCAGGACACGTGCGATCAGAAAAAAAGGGGCCACGAAATCTCGAAGACTCCATGGCCCTGGCCTTGGGCCGTGAATCCCCCCTCCTCCTCCTCCTCCTCCTCCTCCTCCTCCTCCTCCTCCTCCCCCTCCTCCTCCTCCTCCTCCTCCTCCTCCTCCTCCCCCTCCTCCTCCTCCTCCTCCTCCTCCTCCTCCTCCTCCTCCTGCTCCTGCTCCCTGGGGCCTCCGTCGTCCGCTCGGGGCGACTCGGGGGCACCGCCAGAGACCCCCTCGGCGAGGAGCAGGTGCCGGCACGGCACCCCGAGGCGAGGAAATTTCGGGGCGACCCAAAAGTGACTACCTACGGCAGGTTCGCGTCGTGTCGACCCCAGCGACGGTTTTTGACACCGCAGGGATCGTTCAACCTTGAACGATCGGCCGCTGCCGCAACGTCCGATCGTTCAACATCGATCGATTCTGGGTCGCCGGCGGCGTTCAACCTTGAACGCCCGCGCTGGGGTCGCCGCCGGTCGACACGACGCAAACCTACCGTACCAGACCACCCCAACCCAACCCGAAGACCCGAATTTGACCCGAATTTCGGGTTGGGGGGGGGTACGGGTTCCATACGTGTTTTTTCGACGTTCCCCGACCCCCCCCCCACTGGAAATGGAGGGCAAATTGAGGCCTTCGGGTTGGGTTGGGGTGGTCTGGTAGGTGGTGAAAAAGGGGGTCCAGCGACCCAAATCGGGGACGGACAGACCTCCCTTTAGTAAAACGTGGTTTAGTGAAAACGACCTCGGGCCAAACCTGGCGGGCGCAAGCCTGGAAAATGACGGCCGCGGCGCCCTCTCGAGAACCGAAAACGGACAATTCACTAATCGACGTATCAGGGTAGGAGGTCTGTCCACCCCCGACCAAAAGGGGGTCCAGCTGCAAGGGGGTGGTGCATTAGATTTGGGGCAACTGTATTGCAAACGTACTGCGCTGGAGAATTGTACTGCATTGTATTGCAACGAATGTATTGCACGCGAAAATCCAGCAATACATTTGCGCTCCGGAATGTATTGCACGCCCCAAATGTATTGCAACCCCACAAATCCATTGCACCAAATCTATTGCACCACCCCCTTGTCGCTGGACCCCCTTTCGGGTCATCCCAAGAAAAGCCATCCCCTTCAACGCCACCAAGTGTCTCTGGACATCCTCCGATATGAGTCGTTCCAAGGCGCGGCCCCAGAGATCCCGACCCCTCCCCAAGGCCAATTTCTCGCCGCGGATCCATGTTTGATGTTCCAGGGGCCCGTTCACGGGCCCTGGAAAACCAAATCGATCACAAAAGTCAAAGTAGTTGAGTCTGTCGAAGAGAAGCCCCTTCCCTTTGATCCCTTCCCCGCTGGGGGTTGAGCGCGGGGGAAGAGGTCCCAAGGTCTGAATACCATCCCCCGGGGTGTCCCAGAGGCCTCAAGGCGGGCCAAGAGTGGTCCAAGAGGCCCCCAAGACGGTCCAAGAGTGCTCCGAATTGCCGAACAGTCAGCCCAAGATGCCTCCAAAACGCCCGAAGAGGCCTCCCAGAGCGTTCCCAATAGGCAATATGGCTCCAAGAGGCAAACATTATTGATTTCAATGAGGAGTTTGTTAGATGTCGGTGTTCTCGCACTGTCGGCTTCCCGACGCGACAAGATGGCCCAACAGGCCCCCAAGATCGATCGCACCACGACGGCCCCCCAAAACGACCCAACAGGGGCCCCAGACTGCCCAGGAGGCCCCCAAGACGTGCCAGGAGGGTCCCAAGACGGCTCCAAGAGGGTCCCCAGACTTGTGATCCGAACGGACACTTGGAGCCCTCGGCCCCGAGAGGCTCCCAGGAGGCCCCCAGAGGCCACCAAGAGACCTCCGGGAGGCCCCCAAGAGACCTGCCCCCAAACTGGCCCCCAGAGACCCCCGAGAAGCGCTTCGAGGATACCCCAAACAGCATCCCTGAGGACCCTGACAGGCGTCAGCGTCGTCGTCGTCGTCGTCTCCGCCGCCGCCGCCGTCGTCCTCGTCCCCCTTCCGGGTCGGCGGCACTGGCCGTGAAACCTTCGCAGTCAAAATGGCATCGATGCCACCGCTACTCACCGGGCCCCTCCCGGAGTGCGTGCTGACCAGGACTTCGAGGCGAACCCAGCCGTGGCAACCAGGGCCTCCAGGGAGGTCCACAAGGGGGAAAACGAAGGCCTGGCGGCGGTATCGGTACGTTTTCCTCCTCTGGCCTTCGCCAACTCCAAGTGACTCCTTCCTCTATCTTTAGGTCGGGCCTGTTCCCCCTACAGGCGGATTTGAGGCGAATTTTTTTTTGAATCCAAAAATAGCAAAACATGCTCAAAAATGGTCCCCAAAAAAGTCCCCGGACTATTGTCTGATGATTGTTGAATCGTCCTCCTGTAGAGGGACAGGCCCGACTGAACTCTATAAATCTGCTGCGTGCCCCCAGAGCCTGGTGCCTGCGCAGCACGGCGGCCAGCAGGTGCCCCTCCCCGCCGCCCACGTCCACGACGAGCGGCGCCGGGCCGCGGGCGGAGGCGGCGGCCGCGCCCGCCTCCGCCCAGATCTGCGAGGCGGCCACGAGGTCCGTGGGCCTCTCGGTCCTCTCGGTCTGCCCGAAGTGCGCGTCCTCGGGGGGCGGCGCTCTGCGGCGTTCCGCCCTCGGGAGGCGCTCCGCAGAGGGCGCTTCTCGCCCGGAGAGGTGGCCCGATCGTCCCGAGCGGCCGCCGGGTACCCGAGCTAGGGCCAGGAGAACACCGGGAAGGCGTTCTTCACTGGGCTCTCTGGGGCACCCAGCGCCCCAGGCATACCGGGCGCCCCCCCTTCTGGAGCACACCAGGGGCAGAAGAACCCGCGGCGCGAAGGTCAGATGCGCAAGGTGGGGTCGAAGGCTCTCCGAGCCACACTTGTGAAGATGGTGCAAGACAAAAGCAAAGGTTGGAACCGCCTCAGCGCCCGGATCACGGCCGGGCAACTCCTGGGGCACCCCCGGGGATAGACCCCGCCGTACCGACCCATGGCCCAGCGCTGGCCTGGCCAGGGCCGGCGCAGGGCGACGCGCAGTCAGCCAGGCAGCCAAGCCGTCGAAGAGGCGAGGAGGAGGAGGAGGAGGAGGAGGAGGAGGAGGAGCGTCCTCACTCAGCTCGCGCATCAGGTCGTCGAAGAGGCGCGCCTCGCGCCCGCGGCTGGGCTGCGCGTAGTACTCGAAGGCCCCGAGGCCCCCGTGCTCCTGCCGGAAGGGCTCCGAGTCGGCGCCCTCCGACAGCATCGCCTCCTCTATCCGCCACCAGGGCCGCACGTGCGCGGGGGACAGGTGCACCATCGCCCAGGTCCGGTACTGGCCGCCCCGCCGCAACCGCATGGAGTGCGCCGTGTGCCGGAAGCGGGGCTCCGCAGCCTGCGGGTCGAGCTCCTCCACCGACGCCAGCGACGACGACGCTCGCGGTGGC